TATTGAAAAAAATCTGAAACCATGGGATTACTCATGGGATACATCTATTGTACAAAATAGTCAACTATGTCAAGATCCTTATAAAGAAGTTACTGAAAACTATTTCAAAGACATACAAAGACATTGTAGGCATAGGTTTGTATATATCATAATTATTTAACCAAGTGCTTTAAACAGCATTGGTTATTGTGCACCACATGCTGAAATTTCATATGGACAAACAATGTATTTTACACATATGGTTATTGAACCCACCCTTTAAAATTATTTACTGTCAATAGAAATTTTTTTTTTCTGCTTTATAGAAAATAATTACTAAAAAAATTGAAATGCATCATGCTTTTGTAAATGCCCTGTTAACTGATAGTTCCTTTTTGATTCTACGGGTAAATAATAAATCAATAACGACTGGACAGTGAGAAATAAAACCGAGAAACCCCGCGGGCAGGCCAACACCAAATGGCACGGACAATGGGGGAATCGAACCCCCCTGCCCTGTGCCATTGGGATATCAGTCATTCGTTTGACACATTTCTCGGTTCAAAATAAAACGATTAAACGATCACAAGTGAGTAGTGGAGGTTACAAACAGATAAACAATGAACAAGTGACGAGAGGTGAGTTAGAGACATGTACGATATTGAACGATAAAAATAACATATGGTTCTACACTCAAATAATTACAATTCTAAAAATACTTAAAAGTACAATAAATCTAATAAAAAGCAATTGAAAAGACGGGTTTGTACAATTAAAAAGGATATTATTCAGCCATTGTCTAAGATAAGTATGCAGTTGGTTAAATGCTCTGCTCATGGTTAGATAATAATGTGCTTAATGTTATTGGTCAGTGCAATTACAATTTGTTCCTACATTTTGATATTTTTCAGATCTGGGAATGAAAAGAGTTGTGTCAAATTTACATATACTGCAATGCATGGTGTTGGGACACTAGCTGCTGCTACTGCATTTCAAGCATTTGGATTTCAACCATTTGTTCCAGTCAAAGACCAGGTATATGTAACTAAATTCCAACAAAGCATCTTGCAACAATATGTATGTTTATCAACAATTGAAAAGGGAAACATTGCATTGTCATTATTAAATTAAAAATCTATTTGACAGGTTGAACCTGATCCTGACTTTCCAACTGTCAAATTTCCAAATCCTGAAGAAGGTAAAAGTGCCTTAAACTTGGCAATGAAAACAGCTGATAATCATAGTAGTACTGTGATACTTGCTAATGACCCTGATGCTGATAGGTGTGCTGTAGCTGAGAAACAACCTGGTGGTCACTGGAAGATATTCACAGGCAATGAAACTGGTGCTCTCCTTGGGTGGTGGGCGATATATACTTATAAAGAGCAGTATGGACAAGATGTAGATATGTCAGGTAAGAGCCAGTCATTCACATGTGTGTTATTTTGTTGCATATTTTCTGTTTCTCTTGAACATATTTTAGTTCTCAAGTTGTGCCCTTTTTAGCTCTGCTACAATCAGAGATGACAGAAAGGAGCAGTCCATATAGCTGTTGGCAGTCCATTCTTTCTTGAAAACCACCAGCTGTATTGCTTTCATATACGGTATGCAGTTAACTTGGGTTGCCCTCTATCAGATTTTTTCATTTCATGAAGATAATAATTCTCCATTGTTAGTGATTACTTTTGTCATTTTTGGTACAAAATTATATTTTTGACTTCATGAAAACTGGTACTCCAATTTCTTTGATTATTTGTTTTTTTTAGCTCCGCTGTTGACTTTGTCGAGTGGAGCTTATCATATGAGTGAGCGTCCGTCACCGTGTTGATGTTTTACTTTTTTAACTTCTTCTTGAAAACTACAAGTTCGAATGCTTTGATACTTGGTGTATGTGTTTCTTGGGTAGACCTCTCTCAGATTTGTTCATTTCATGATGATACAGTACTCATTCCGCCCAACCTCCCGCTTTTATCGCTTTTTTTCCGACCGCTTATCGCTTAATTTCCGACCGCTCGCTGCTTTCCGACCGGAAACCGACCGCTTTTTTTCTGCTCGCTCGCTTTTGTTCGCTCGCTCACTCCTGCTATGGCTGGCTTCAGAAACATCGTCCGCTTGCAAACCGACCGCTGGAGTAACAATGATCGTACATTGTATGTATAAACTTAAGTTTTTATTCGTAATAAATTTAGGTTTTAATGACGATTCAAAACACAACGCCTATTGCTTCTCTGTTTTGGAACAAAGACGCCTTCAAATCACTTGACACATTAGAGAGTTTAAGATTTGCGTACGTAACGGGAACGTAACGTGATGTTCTAATTTCGTTTGCGTTACGTTCTCGGGTGTCAGAAAACGATTAAGTACAAGCGCAGGGGTACCAATGAAAGTGTAGCTTTTTAATGAAAATCACAGCTTTGACACCGTGCAGCATAGCTTGGTTAGGAAAAGCTTAGCTGCAGGAATGAAATCCGCTAGTTTTGACATCGAGAACTCAAGCTTTGAACATATTTTGATGTTGAGGGCGTACACAACATGGCTGCCTCCAAAAGCAGTGTTAGCGACGGCAAGTATTTTACTCGTTTTCTAAACAAAATCACCAAGTTATGCTGTTTAATATGCCGTAATCAGTGAAGTTCAGGTTCAATTTCATTTCTAGAAAGTTTCAGCCACCATTTTACGAAATTTGCAGAGAAATCTCAATTCCAATTTTCGAAGCGAACAGGCTAGCAGGACGTCCTATTCTTATACATGTACATGTACTTGGATTTTATGACAGTGTAAAGACGTGGTGGCTAGTGTTGACAATGTCTGTTTTCGAGAGTTTGTAAAAGCTCACGAAGATTTAAAAGTTAGTATCATATGAGATGAATATTTAGCTTCTCTTCCTTTCATTTATGCGCTAGCCACCACGGGAACGTAACTGAAACCAGAACCATGTCAATCCGTCTCTCATTGGGCAACAATAACTACCTAAATTAATTTGTTATGTCATTTCACGTCCGGAATCAGAATTAGTAGTTAGTTCACAGACATTTTGACAGAGCTCTCGCTATTTCCATCCACTCTGCTGAGGTCCTAGGCCTGTTTACCGAATCCTCTTTCAGCAGATCAATATCATGCGTTTTCAGTGGGTATAAATGTCAGCTAAAATGCATCCAATATTTCTTATTTCATCATAAATATTCAAAAACACTCTAATATAATACGTTTTATTAATGTCAATGAAAATTATTCAAAATTGACAGCGAGAAAAGCTCTCGGAAATCAACTACGAGTCAGTCACCTTGATCACGTTCAAAACGACTGCCGAACGACCAGGCAACCGATGACGTCATTGGTTCGCGCGGAGGTCATGCACAAAGCAGTGACGTATCCGTTCTCGTTCCGTTCTCGTTCCGTTCTCGTATGCGCATCTTAATGTCTCTATTGTAACGTTTGCTACGCAAGTCGAACTGTGACCTGTATTTACATATTTACGTCCTTGTGTGTGTAGTTCAAGCAGCTATATAACTGGTCAATCGCGATATGTATTGAGTACTAGTATTTGTGTGTTGTGTGTGTGTTTCTGTGTGTGATTTTGACTAAATTTATTCCGAACAGCGCTCAAAATAATTTGACACTTTGTTATTTTCGAACGCAACTCACACTATGACCCTTACTCAATTTGCATAAGTAATACGAATGCTATAGTTCAGAAAACGAATCTATTGGTTAACTTTTGCTCGTGTCTGGGTGCGCAAAACAAAACTGCACATATAATTATCGCATAGCTGAATTTCTACAAATCAATGGACTTAA